ATCACCACATACTTTGGGCAAAAAAAAAAAAAAAACTTAAAAAAAAAAAAAAAAAAAAAAAAAGAATAAACAGACTGCAAAGCTCTTAATTCTGCCTTGAGAACTTTGCCTTATCCTTATTATTATGACAATCATGAATAGTCTTATATTCTTTGTGGTATGTTCTTTCCCCTTCAAACTTTTAACTGTTAGGAGAATTCATTTTTTATTCTCTACTTTGTTTCAGCCTTGACTTACAAGGCCCAAAAGCAATTGAGACAAGTTACAAAGTTCAATAGTATTGAAAATAAAATATAAAAAATCAGGGAGAATTAAAAAGGGCAGAAAAATTATGATGAAGTCATACATAATAATATAAGTATGCATAATATTTAATCCTGTGCAGTTGTTAAAATTAGACTGAATTTTAGCTGTGAGCCTTCTAGAGTCAATGAAAAGAGGAAAACATGACAAGATATTCATGACGTTTTTCAAAAAGGTCACATAGGAGAAGCTTTATTGGAATACTGTGACCTGGGAGAGAATTGTTTCCATGGATTAAGATAAAAGAACAATATAATCGTCTTTCAACCATTCAAGTATTTCAATGTCATTCAAGTATTTCAATGAAATACTTTCAAGAATATCCTTTTGTTTGTAATCACATCTTTTACTATATCAGTGTTATAATGCTAAAGTTAAATTTACTAGGAATTCACTCTATTCACACTATTCATTTCACAGCCTGGCTGGAACCATGGGCAATGTTTAGAAAAGCTAGATTTGTGTTTTCCAAACAGTATTCAATAAAAGGCTCATTTTCTAGAATAATAATAGGTGTTATGTGAGTAAAGAGTTCCATAGTCATTGGGAATTGCTAGGATAAAAAAAAAAATTAAACAGTATTTTATTACAGGTGTAATGCATGCATCATTGTTAATATCCAGGAGGGAGTTTTAATGTATATTATGTACAAACATTTTTAACCTCCAAATGATTTTGAGGGGGTCATTTAGCCAGACTAGTGTTTTGAGGGACATTGCTTGGAAAATAGTTTTCCAGAAGAATAAAGGGAATGCATAGCCTTCAGCTTGTCCTGGTATGCATATAAAGAAGTTTCTTAATACAGTTGAACAGCAGAGAGTTCAATTTTGCATTTCTGTGGGGCAGGTGTTCTCTGTTGCTGATGAAAGGCAGGTCCAGATGCTTTGTCAATCCATACTTGACTGTGGGGTTGGCATTCTCCAATAAAAACTAACACTATCTATAGTATGTGCCTGAATCATAACTTATGGTTCAAACCTTGTCCTGAAGTGGGCCAATATAGTACCTTCAGGCAGGGTCAGATTTTCTTTCCTTGGACACAGGGACATATAGTTTGGTGCCATAGCAGAGAGTGACAATAATTTTACCTTGAATATACTTCAAAGTACTGATACCAGTTGCCTATTGTATCCATTAAAAAATAAAATCCAGTAGGATACTATCAAATGACTAGTTTTTAGTAGTATAACTTGCTTATGAGCCTTCTAAGATTGATTTAAAAAATATATCTTGGGAAAACTAAGTTTATCTCTCACATTAAATGGTTAGAAGTAAGTCAAATATTGGAAGACCTCTACCAAAAATGATTGGGTTTTAGAGAAGTTGCTTTTTATCTTTCTAATAGAAAATAGATAATTTTTTTTTCTATTGAGATTTCAAGGTCTGGCAACAAAATTTTAAGTGTGCAGAGGCTGCATTTTAGATAAGAGAACAGTAATAAGTCAACTTCCTTTCAAAAGCACAGGTATTTGCATTCATTTGAATAGATTATGGCAAAATTATTTCCAATAATAGATGCTTTTCTGTTCTTAGTTTGCTCCATTTAAGTGAGTACTTGGAGATAACAAAACCAGATGTGTTAAGGTTGCTGGCTGTATAATTTACCAATGACACAATAAAGTCTTAGCTGTTTGTCACTTATACTTGAATTTACTGTGCATAGTCTGTGCTAAAAGAAGAACACTATAAAATGTATTGGAGTAAATAATCTCCTTAGGTTGGCCATCTAAAATTCTAGAATTCTTATATCAACATGTTAGCCTTCAGGCTTGGGTTTTGAGTTCCTCTTAACTCAAGGGTTTCATAACTGCCTCCTCAACCACTTTGCTTCTTTTAATTATGAAAACTTAAATTTTTTATTTATAAATAAAATTTGAAATGACATTACAAGTTCAGCAACTATACTAAACTAATTACAAAAACATAAAAAAGTACTCAATAAGATTTCTGTCTTCTTCACTTCTTAATGTTCTACACCAATTTCTGTAGAAATCTATAGAATTCTCTGTTTAGCACATTAATTCTAGTATTTTCACTATTAAGAATAAGTTTTGAAATAAATTCTCTTGTTACAAAATAAGTAATGAATGAAAGATTTACTGCTGCTTGAAAAAAATGTAGCCTTGGTCTGTCCTTCCCAGATGTTGAAAAATAGTCATTTTGAAAAGAGTGAACATCCGTGTAAGACTTCATTTCTAGTTTGTTTATCTTGGGACTCTATGTTTCTGCTGTGATTGAGAGAAATCATTTCAAGGTTAACTAACTTGCATGAAGTTTGAAATAAAAATGAAGAGAGAGAAGTGCAGACAAACCCAGATTTATTTTTACTTTTTTTAAAGTTAATCATTAGAAAAAAACATATAAGGAAAAAAACCATGCATCAGAGACTTTCTGAAAGTTAGATCTTCTATTGTGTGGAAAACATTTGAATATATATAACTTATTGAAACCCTACTATAGCTAAAATTTGAAAGTTATTTCAGTGACCTGGAATCCTAAACAAAAATTAACTTTCATAAATGTTGTTTCGATGATAAAAGTGCTGAAGTACTTAAAGGAATTCTCCTAAAACTATAAAGGAAATATACGCCTTACATGAAGGTGTATAGAAAAGCAAACAAGATGGAATGTGGGACAGGAATTTTAAATATATTTTTTGTGGTAAAGATTTACTTTAAATTCGTGTTGCTCATTCTTTCAAAGACTTTAACCTACTACAGTAAACCATTTCAAGTATCTGAATAACAATCCTGTGAAGAAAGTAGCCCTGTCTATTACCTACATTTACAGGAAAGAATATTGAAAGAGAAAGTTGCACTGTAGAAGGAGTGTGTTTTGTTACATAGAATAAGCAAGGACAGAACAGAAAGCAGCTTCCTGTCTTCAGTTCTACCTGTATCTGATTTGTTTCGTTTATTTACTTCGTTGGTTTCCCACACAAATAGAATAAGTAGTTGAATTTTAGTAATAAATCTAAATATTCATGTATTTAAAAGGTTCTCCTCAAGATTTACAGGAAAAGCCACTTTGAAGGTGCATGAAATATGTTTTTATTCCCTGGGAGTGAACGGAAACAGCGCTGACAGAAATGGCCCTAATGCCAGCATGACATTCCGTTTTCGTTGTGAAGCAAACCTAGATGGCGTCAGAACCCAGGACAAATCCTGGGAACTGTGACAGAGGGGGATCCCACACTGTATTTAAGGGAGGGGGAGTAGTGTTGGAGGAGAAAAGCTCATTTAACCATGAGAAAGTGATTATTTCTGCTGTGATCCCTGATAACCTTTGAACTAAAATAAATCTCTTATCAGATTGGATAGTTTTCAGTTGTTTTCCTTTTCATTCCCTCTCTTTATTTATTTTACAGTGGATGGAACTGAGGTTCAACACTCTGGCAAAATGCCCACACTGCAAAAAAATGTAAGTTCCTACCATTGGAAATGCTATTGGGAAGTACTTGAGAACAATTTAAAGAGTTCAGAATTCTCACTTAGTACATTTTGATTTTAAGACATGCTGTGGGATGAATGCATGCTTGTTGTATTTATGCTTTTCAAGACCAAGTAAAAAGACATCTTTAAACTGATTAATATATTCCATTTTGAAATTAAAATGATTGTGTTTGGTTATCACCCTCTAAAGGGAAATCAATTTCTATGAAAGAAATTACTAAAGTTATCAGGAACCTGGTGAGGATTTTCAAATGTCCTAAGAGGTTACAATCTATTGCAAATAATCTAAAATTTATATTTTAAAAATGGGCTGTAATCTAGGAGAAAAAACAAATTGTTTGGGATTATAATTAGGTGTTTGTTAGCTTTTGTCCTCTCTTGCCTAATAAGATTATTAGATGATGGCAAAGTTTATGTAATTATTTATTTATCTTTCTATTCAGTCTATTTCTCTCTATTTCTAAATGTTGTACCTAAGGAAAATAACAAAAGGCAATATAAAAATGGGAAAAAAATAGAAGATATTTTGATTAAAGACATTCTATGGCTGCTGTATTGGGGGTCCCCAAGTCACCCCAAGATTCCGTGATTTTCTAGGAGTACTAATAGGAATTAGTATATATTTGTACTTGCAGCTATGATTTATTAGCGTGAAAGTATACAAAGCATAATCAGCAAAGGAAAAAGGCACATGGGGCAAAATCTGGAGGAAACCAGGAGCAAGCTTCCAAGAGTCCTCTCTCAGTGGAGTCACACAGGACGTGCTCAAGTCCTCCAGCAGTGAATTGTTATAACACATGTGAAATGTGGTCTACCAGAGAAGCTCATTAGAGACTCAGTGCCCAAAGTTTTTATTGGAGCTGGTCACATGGCACCTACTGCATAGCACATACCAAATTCCCAGGCTCCCAGAAGGAAAGCAAGTGTTCAGCATAAACCATATTGTTTATGCAAACAATTTAGGCATAGTAAGCCACTCTTACCAGTTAGGGAATGGTGGGAACTTTCTAGAAATCTAAGTTCCCAGATACCAACCTTGCAAAGCAGACCTTTCTAAGAATAGCAGTCTTAGAGCTGCTATGTTAACTCTTTTCTGCACAGCATATATTTTGATAATAAAATTTATTTTTATTTATTTATTTTTTGTGAGGAAGATCAGCCCTGTGCTAACATCTGCCAATCCTCCTCTTTTTGCTGAGGAAGACTGGCCTTGAGCTAACATCCGTGCCCATCTTCCTCCACTTTATATGGGACGCCACCACAGCATGGCCTGAGAAGCGGTACGTCAGTGCGCGCCTGGGATCTGAACCCGGGCCGCCAGCAGCGGAGCGCGTGCACTTAACCGCTACGCCACGGGGCCGGCCCCGATAATAAAATTTTGATTTAAAAATTGTCCTCCACTTAATGCGTGAATTATAACTTGAGCTAAGGAAGTTAAACTGAAATGTTTTGACGATTCAATTCAATTTTTAAAATTGAAAATATGGGTTCATAGTTTAATTTGTGTGATCCTAATAAGTATGTTATAAATACCTTACCTATTTTGAGAGTAGAGAAATCCTAAGAATGATTCCTAGGAGAAAAGAATTAAGAAGTGCCTGAGAAGTAGAGCATATGTAACAAAATGTCTCCATTTATCTCTGCTACTCTGATTCCAAATAAATATTGCCCTGTGAGCATAACTTCTTTACAGCATGTTTCTAGCTTCAAAGGAACAGATATTTCCTTTTTTATTTATTTGTGAAATTAATCATCTGAATTCTTCATTGAATTCAGTAAAAGTCTGTACATGGAGAAGCAAAGTGGATAACTCCAAATAAGTACACAGAAAAATATATACTTAAAAGATATCCCCCTACACACATGTACATGAATATGTATGTGAATGATCATTATTTCTGTGTATTATCACAAAAATGAAAAAAGTTGAATTGCAGATATCTTCACCAAGAACATTAAATTGGGTTAAAAAATTTTATGGAAAATAAAAAGCAGAGACTTTTTGTGATTGACAAACTGTGTGCTACATACAGTGATAGGTAGCTGCTTTATATACACAGATAGACTAGCTGTAATCTTTCTAACAATCCTGGAGTGCAGGAATTATTATCTTCATTTTACAGATGAGGAACTGTTAGAGAGGTTAAGGATTTTGCTCAAGTGATTTGCTTGGTTAATTATTTTAGAACAGTGGCAGTATTTTGCTAATAATGAAGTATTGAATGTCTAGATACTTTATGATTGGTTAAAATATCACAAGACAGTGTATTAATGTGAAGAAGAATTTGTATCAATTACTTAAGGAACAGCTTGCATAGAAATTCACATGGAATAAATCAGCTTAAATATCATTCTTAGAGGAATGTTTATAGAGTTGGAATCACATGCTAAACTTGCAAGGACTCAGGGCACTCATTACTTATTAGAGCAAAGATGCTATTATCGCATGAACACTCATGGCTTGTATCTAGCTTTCTTTTTCTTTGAATGTTTTTCTTCCTAACAAAATGAGGAGTCATCTGTTAAAGTAAGATTCTGAGATAGAATTTTATTTCTTTAAACACAAATATCAAATATCCTAAAATTATTTTTAAGTTGTAGAAGTTACTAAATCATTACTATGAAACCAACAAAAAACATGTGAGGAAACCTTCCCTCAGGGCTCTGGAGACTAAGAAACATTTTTTCCTATCGTTGTTTCTTACTCATGCAGTTGCTGGGGCAATTATAGCTGAAGGCGAGGTTCCTTTTTCAGTTGGGCAGCTTGTGGCCACTGCTGGACAGCAGATGTAGTCCTAGCATTCTGAAATACAACTTGGACTATATTTCCATGCAAATGTTATAATGGACCTAAGACTAGTAGAGACGGTGATTTAATCCATGATAATTATCGTTGAATATCATTTCTCTACATCACTGATGTACTCCTTTGTGGATCACCTCCTATCATTTTAAACAATAGCACGCTCTTTTATTTTGCTGTTTAGTGCTTTCGTTTATAATTATTCATGAATTCAACAAACAGTCCTGTGCTAGGTACTGGGTGCTTGAAATAAAAGATAAAACCTTGCTTTCAGGGAACTTATTCTTGTGGGTATAGAGAAGAGAATAGACAATTAAAATAAAGTTTTAAGTGCTTTGAAAGAGGTATGCCCCGCATGCTCTGCTCTGAAGAGCCCCTAATCCAGAGTGGAGGGAAAGGAAATGTGAGGGAAGGCTTCCAGGAGGGAAGGATATATGAACTAAGTTATTAAAGATCAGTGGGAATGATGTGAAAAAGAGGGCAGGATGATTCCTTGTGGAAGGAGCTACCTGTGCAAAGATGTAGAGGAGTCAAAGGGTAAATGTGCTATTAAGGAAATGGAATAGATAGGATTGAATGTGAAGGGATAAGAGACCGATTGGGTTTAAGGATGACCTGTTATCTGAGAGGCTATATTCACTGATCCTGATTCACTGAATCAGGAATCCTGAATCACTGATTCCTATTCACTGAGATAGGAAATACAGGATCTAGAAGAACTGTGTCTGGCAGAGAAAATGATAAGTTTGTTTTGAACATATTAGATATAGACTACTAGGTTTGCAGATTGGCTAAGTCTTCATCCCTTGAAATTCAGATCCACCCATCTGCTTTTCAAACCACCAATCTTGGATCAGTATGGCCATGGCTTCTCCCTTCCTTAATCAAGATAACTGAGAGCTGACAAAATTCTATTTTGATTAACTCTTTACAAATGTATAGCTTTATACTTCAGCTAAACCCTTGCTTGATATTCCTTTTCTAAGTGTTCTTGATTAACTCCCTTCCTCATTCTTCAAAGCAGTTTTCTCCAGGTATTTACTGTTCATCTTAAATTCATATCCCTCATACTCTCTACTCTCTCAGTCTCAGCAGATGAGTTGCCTCCTGTCTCTGTGAGATGATTGAGGCTGTCTGTGAACTCCCTCACCTTCATACTTCCTACCTATAAAGCCATCTATGTCTCTGCTCACTTCATTTGCTCTTCTCAGAAGGTTGCAGGTCTCTTCCTTTCAAGGCTTATCCAAACTTCATTTGATCATGGCACCCCATTCTCCCTGGAGTAAAGTGCAATTAGCCGTCAAGCCCCACTAGGCCACTGAATTTGCTCTGACAACATTCACATCCCAATTGCAAATTCTAATAGATCTCTTCAGTCCTCATCCTGCTTGTATTCTCTGTAGTATTTGGTTCTGTTGATCATCCTGTTTTTTTCCTTAAAATTTGTTTTTCTTGGTTTCCAGATACCACTTTCTCCTGTTGTTTTTCTCCCACTTCTCAGAACATTCCTTTGCTGTCTTCTTTGTTGACTTCACTTTCTCTTCCAAGTTGTTAAATATTGCTATTCTCCAGGCTTGCAACTTGACCACACTCTGAGTTTTCTCATATATTCCCCTGTCATTTATATGCCATTAAATCACCCCAGATCTCTGTTCAGCGCTCCTAATGTAAATATACAATCTGTATTCACTATTTTACCTATAGTTACTTTAACCTGGGTGCCATAGGCATCCCAGACACAGCATATCCAACTTCCTTACCCCACTCTGTAAACTCGTCTTCCTTGTGTATTGATGAATATATTATATTAATGAATTGCTATCCCATCTGCCCAGCTGACCAAGCCAGAAATCTGAACATGTGTTTGTTCCCTATATCCAAATGGAAACAAGTCCTATCAAATCCATCTCTTGACATTTCAATTCTGTTCACTTATTCTCACTATTCTTCCTGTAGGTCATGCCTTCAGGATCTCTCACTGGGACTACTGCAATAGCTTTCTAATTTATCTCTTGGCCTTCAGCCTTGCATTTCTTTTTCCATTTACTAGAGTAATGGTTCTCAAAGAGAGATTTTAAGCTCTCTGGCTTCAGATCTTTTAGTAGTTCCCAAATTCATGGCCGTGGCATACAGTTGTGCAGGTTTTATACTGCACAACCGAAGGA